CCTCAAGCTGTCCCCCTGGGTAGAGTGCTGTGGCATCACAGCTCACAGCAACCTCCAACTCCTGGGCTCAAGCGATTCTCCTGCCTCTGCCTCCCAAGTAGGTGGGACTACAGGTGCCTGCCACAACGCTCAGCTATTGTTTTGTTTGCAGGTCATTGCTGTTTGGTGGCCGGGGCTGGATTCGAACCTGCCAGCTCAGGTGTATGTGGCCAGCGCCTTAGCCACTTGAGCCACAGGTGCTGAGCCTCACATCTCCTTTCGATGTTAGTGCTAGAAGAGATTCTAGTGTAACAATTTTTCAAATGCCAATAAGATCATGTAATATTTGGATAAGATCATATAATATTCTGTCATGTCAGTAATAGCCAATTCAATGCAGAAGGGTATTACTATATCTTATACAGAGAAGAAAAAAATATTACCAGTCTACTATGCATCTGATACTGGGTTATGTGCTTTCCTATTACCAAATTTAAACCTCAAAACAGTCACCCATACTGTAATCTTATAAATTAATACACCAGTGATTTGTCCAAGAGACACATTAACCAGTCTGCATATGTGATGGACACTGAAAGCCCCTTCCCCCATCCTTTAATTCCCTTGCTGGATAAGGGCACACTTGCTGAACACCTTCCTCACTGATGGTGGAAGGTAACCTTTAAAAAGGTAGAAATCCTCATGCTCCTGGTAAAGAAGAGGAAGAAAAATTTGCGGTTAAGGTAATTCTCAGAGAACCATCAAGATTTCAACAGCATATCCTGGTTGCAAATTCCTACCCCTCCCAAGTGTTACCTAACTCAAAGAGAAACATTAGTCCTTGCTCCCATTGAGGTCAGTTTGTAAAATGCGCCAAGTCAGCCAACAACCTTCCAGACAAGTTACCACTAAACAGAGGGCGAATACCAGGCCCAAACAACAGGGAAAACTCAGGTGAATGACTGCTCTGTGTTTGTAATATTGTCCGAGCTAATGTACCGTGTATTTGTCTGCAGCATGATTTAAAATATTTATAGAAGTTAGAGAAAGAGGGGGGGAAGTATCAGTCCACAACTCTACTTTTTTATTACTCTTTTCTAAAGACCATTATCTACTAAACAGATAGAAATTTAAATTTTTCCCCTGGAGTTACTTCTGAGCTAGCTTTTTCCTTAACCTGGTAAGAGCCAGGCCTGTACTTTGTGTAGTCAGTGATGTAAGCCTCAGCCAAGTGACTTCCCTCTGGATCAGACACTCAGATGCTTACAGCCTTAGGCTTGCTCACCAGAGATCTGAGAGTGGTATGTGTGTGTTTTCCTTAGAGATCCCTACGTGCACACTGTTGGTTTTACAGACTAGAACACTGCTAAAACAATAAAAGGCAAGCTTATTCTGTTTAATACAAAGAACATGGCCTCATGGTGAAGCTTTACACTAGCTGTTAAAAATATAATTTGGTTTTTAAAGTTAATTCTTTGCAAGAGCTCAACTATTAGCTGTGAGGGTCATAATTTTGACATGTGGCCCACATGGAAAGGGTGCTACCGGTACATTTAGGCAGGATATGATATTAGGGAGACTGGTAATAAAAATACTTTTAATATTTCAAGGGGTTTGGGAGAGTGGAACATTGGGCTGCCAGTTTCGTTCTGACCCCCTATTCTGGGGGTTCTGATAGCTCCCCTTCTTGAGTATTCTTCCTCAAAGTCTCCTCCAAGTTTTCAGGCCTTTCTTTTTTCTTTTTTTCTGCTCTCATCTGAACTACTGCAAGGGGCCTTCAAGGTGATGGCCTCACCTGCTGTTTGGGCCCCTGTGACTGGCTGCCCTGCTCACCACTGCCTGCTCTTCTTCCCAAAGTAGAGCTCCACTCCTCACATTTCCTATGAGAAAGAGCTTCCACGGCTTCTGTTGGCTTGTGGCACACCCTGGCACACAGTTTACACTCTCAGTTTACACTTTTCTCCTCCTAAGTCCCGTGTTGCTATAAAACTGAATGATTAGTCTCTGGGTGGGCCTGCACGATCCTATAAAGTTCCCCTCTCACTTTGCCTTAACTCCATGCCACCTCTTATGGGAAATCTTTCCCCATCAAATTACCCAAACACAAAGTAAAAAAAAAAATTTTTTTTTTGAGACAGAGCCTCAAGCTGTCACCCTGGGTAGAGTGCCGTAGCATCACAGCTCACAGCAACCTCCAGCTCGTGGCCCAAGCGATTCTCTTACCTCGGCTTTCCAAGTAGCTGGGACTACAGCACATACCACAATGCCTGGCTATTTTTTGGTTGTAGTTGTCATTGTTGTTTGGCAGACCCGGGCTGGATTCAAACCTGCCAGCTTTGGTGTATGTGGCTAGCACCTTAGCTGCTTGAGCTACAGGCACCGAACCAGCACAGAGTAATTTTTATTTCCTCTTAACCACAAAAGTTATCTGTTTAGGTATGATATATTTATTTGAAGTTATATTAGGGACCACACCATGTTCATCTTTGTATCTGTGGATAGACAAAGAAATAGATGCGGTAATAACTATTTCTGTTTACAGAGGCCCTGAAGAAAAACACTGGAAAGCTAAACATCACTCTCCCCTGAGCCATCGTGCCTCTAAGTGTTTTTCAAAAGCCACACCAGTGCTCAAGTGGAGGGAGTTCTGAGGCCCTCTGAGGCCCAGGGCTCGCTGCCTTCCCACAGGAGCGCAGCAGACACAGGTACACAGAACACTCCTGGCTGACACACCCTCCACCACCCACTTCCCCTCAGGGATTCACCCACCTTGAGTTTAGAACTTCACTGGAGCTACAATTCCACCCTGACAGAGAACCAAAATGTATATGATGTATTAGACATTTAAACTCAAGTCCTGAGAGAACAATTTCTTCCCCGGAGTAAATTTCTAATGAGGAAGCAAAAGGATGTCTGTTACAGAGGCTGTAAGTTAAATTCTTCCCCCAAACATTGTTCCGAAAGTCACTGAACTCTTTCAGAACCAACTTCTGCAAAATTATATGGATAATGCTACTGACACAATATTTTACTGTTGCTTCCAAACTCAGTTACTATTTTATATATTTGACTCATTTAAAAAAAAAATTAGGGAGGCAGGTTGGTATGTTGGAGAGAGGTTCTGTGAAGCCAAGTCTGTCTTCCCACCTCCCTGAAAATCCCTGGATTACTTCTTCTCTATACCTAAATTCCTGCCTGTATAAAATTAGGATAATATCAGTATTTGCCTCATAAGACAATGAATAATATCTGTAAAACACTTAGCACAGAGGCTGCACATAAGAACTAAACAATTATGGCAATGGTAATAATAGCTATGACAATGAAACTACTGAGAATGCTCTGTTTATGGAGAGAAGTAGATTAGTTGGTAAACACCTGGACATTCAGACTAGCTTATCTTTGGGGAAAGATCAGAAGCAGTTTATACCAGTCTCCAAGTAAGTAAGTGTTAGACGTTAAGTAAAGACTATTGCAAACAGCACTAAAAAAGCCAAGAATGGCTTGGGAAACCCCCTGCTTGAATGCAGTTTACTGCAAGTTCATACACATAATCCAGGCACTGTGCAAGTCAGAGCCTGAGATGCTTCTAAGGGCTTTAAAGATTTTGTCTGACTCTAATTGTTTACTGTTAGGTACAAATGAGTGGCCATGGGTCCCAAATAGCCCCATTCAAGTCTTAAGCAAGTTGTTTCAGCATAATTAAAAGTACTCCCTCTTATTCTCAAAAGGGTTCTGGTTTTGGATAATAATGTGGATGTCCACTCTATGTAACAGAACCTTCCCTAGTTCTAAGCCAGTGGACAGTAAAAACAACACTGATCTATTTCTAAAGCTCTTGTTCACATTCTGCAAAGGAGCCTGAGGACTATGGACAACTGGACCTTATGTTTTTAAGTAGCTTGGAAGGAGAAGGTGGTCTAATAAGGAGAGTCAAGATCAAGAATTTGCATTAAAGTTTTACAAGTAAAAGTAAACTCTGAAGAATGAAAGCAAATTCTAACAATTAAAGAAGAGTATTTCTTCCTTTATCTTTCATAACATGGGGGCATAAGAAATCAATAACTTTTAAATTCTACGAAGGCTTCCTGTGGATCAACTCAAAATCATTGGGCCCCAATAAGTGCCAACATTAGCTTTGCTTGTAAGAGAGCTAAAAAGCTCCGTGAGTTCACAGCATTGTGAAATTCTCTTAAACACACACACACACACACACACACACTTTTTAACTGGCTTTAAAGTAAAATGAAGAAACACATTAGATTGTATACCTTTTAGAGAATTCAGAAATACAGTATTATTCTGCTTAATCTCACCCTACGACTTTAGGGACACTGCAGAAGGGGTTATGTTTATGAAAACATTAAAATTGATTTCTCCCAATGTAACAATAACTATGTAGCCTCATGCATTTGTTCAGTATTGCCACTTTATTTTTCTTTATCACTTGTTCATACAAACTGGAAAGAAACCAGACTGAACCAAAGGCTAAAAATTATTTACTTACATGCTTGGTTTAAAACATTCTGGAATAAAACCACAGTGCACTGCAAAACATCACGATGAGCCGTACGTGGCAGAACCAAATAAATACGCTAAAGAGTATTTTTCGGTATTCACTGTTACAAAATCATAATGTCTCATGATACAAACAACGAGATTGTATAACGTCCCTGCATCGTTTTTTTAGAACTAGCAAAAAAGAGGAGGAGAAACTCAGCAAAACAAAGTGGCGAGAAAAGTCGGGGGAGGGGCGCTAGAAGAGAAGGGGCGGAGAAACACGACACCGAGGCGGTGATATCACCCGCAGCCAACTGCATGGAATTCAGAAAGTTAAGTGTCACCCAGCAATTTCGGTGCGGGCTCGAGGCGCGACTGCACAGCGTGGCGGCGGCTGCACCCCGGCTTGGGAGCAGGAAGGGGGAGGGGGCGGTTTCACTGAGTTGACTCAGGGGCAGGGGTGGGGAGGACCACCCGCCTCCGGGACGGTGAGCGATCGAGCCCCGGGGTCCGAAGCATCGTCCACTGCCTGGCAATGATTTCATCTTTCGGGATGAGCGGCCGCCCCGGCCGCGGCTGCCACGTGCCCGGTCCGACCCTGTGCGCTGAGCTCGGGGACAGACCAGAACGCAGCTGCGGTCGCCTTGGGGCGCAGCGGCAAGCGGAAGGATAGGGCTGGCGGCCGGAGAGGGGATCGGAATTGCCAAAACTGGGCTGGGAGATGGCTCCGCGGAGACCACTGGCATCAAGGGGCTGCCTAGCTGAGCACACCCACCCTCCATCACCGAAAGGGAAAAGGCCAGATTGCGGGACAGGTTTCGCAACTCCGAGGGCGGATGCAGGCTGTGGCCCGGCGGGATGGAGCAGCCGTGTCTTCCCGGGGCCCCCGGCTTGGCGGAACCCCATTCCCGGCCTGCCCCCAGCCGCGCAGTGCGCACTCCCGGCGGCGTGACGGTGGCTGTCCGGCCCCCGTCCGAGCCGGGCAGCCGGCCACCCACGTAGGGGACTGTGGCGGCTGCGGGGCCCGGCGCCGCGCGGGTCTCAGCCCGCCACTCCTTACGTGTGCTCCAGGCCCTAGGCGCCTCCTCCCCCGACCCTGGAGAAATCTTTGTACCTTCCACCGCCTCCTCCACCATCTCGTCGTCGCTATCCATGGCGGCTGGGGACCCTGCCCAGCTCCGGGCCGCGCGGCTGCCTCCCGTCCCTCCGGGTGCTCCCGGCGGCTGAGCGAGCGCTGGGGCTGAGCCCTGCGAGTTTGAAGGAGGAGGAGGAAGAGGAGGAGCAGTCGGGGCTGGCTCGCACTGCCTCCCCCTACAGCCCTTTCAATTCCTTGGCCTTCAGCGGCTGCGGCAACTGCCGTCCCCCCTCCCTTCGCCCACTTGCCCCTCGCCTCGGAGGCTCCGAGGTGCCGCTGTGGCCGCCGCCGCCGCTGCAACTTTCTCCTGTAATGCCCCCTCTTTGTTATCGAGCAGCTGATCCGCTGACATCACCCAGCGCCGGTGCGCTCCCTCCCTCGCTGATTGACAGTTCCCTGTCCCTTTCCAGAAGTAAGCCTCCTTAAAACGAAAGGCGCTCCGGGGCCGCGTTTACTCTGCGCCCCAGCCCAGCAGCCCCCGGGCCCGTCAGCGTTTATCTGCCTGTGCGCGGCTTGGCGCGCTCCGAGCGCCCCACGCGGTCCTGGGCGCCGGGGGCCTCTCGCGGGCACTTGGGACCGCCTAGTACCCGCCTTTGGGGGGAAAAGAGCTCTTGACCTCCAGCTGTGCCAAGAGAAAGTGGAGTCCGTGGGGCACCGCCCGCTGAACCCCTCGGGACAGCCTCCAAAGTGCAAGGGAAGCTGAGGAAGCGTTTCTGACGCTCCGGCGCCTCGACTTCCTCCCGCCGTCGCCCCCACTTTACCCCGTTCGCCATCCGGAGTCGCACGAGTGCGGCACGCACAGGAGCGCAGGTGTCCTCGCCGCCCCGCATCACATCCGCAAGCCGGTTCCCCAGGCTCGAGGGGGTGTTATGCCGACCGGATCCCTCCGGACTGCTGCTCCCACCCCAATGCCCCTATCCCCACCCTCCTGCGGATCGTCAGGCCCCTGGGTGATTCAGAAACTGGTGGAATCCAAATGGCAGCGAGCTCTTTATCAGGCAGGAAACAAGCCGCACCGAAAGCTGGGCAGGTTCCTTCTCGAGGTTTGAGAATGGAAAAGGAGCCACCGAGTGGAGCTAACGAGGAATAAAGGACCCTCCGTCTGGTGCGCCTCCCGCCCTCTACTTGTGGTGTTCCCAACTGTCTCCCTGTTTCTTCCAAGTGCCAACCACTTCACAGATTCCGGCGTGTTCAAGTGCAGAAAACCACTGGGAACCGGGTTCCCGGCCCAGCCACTTAGGCAGTGTCATTATGGCGCTGCCTCTTACAGGTGGCGGTAAAGGGCGGCCGTAAATAGCCGGTTAAACAGATGCAAATGTACACAATGTACCGTGGAATTACCGGGTGCCGCTCTGGGTCCCTGCCAAGAACAGCTACAGCACTGGGGGAGGGGGTGGGGCGGGGAGCACAGAAACTTGTTCCATTTTGTTTCCTGAACAATGAATTAGGCTGTGTGGATTTCACAGTACTTCCAGCACCCGGGAGACCGACTACTCCTTGCTTTTGACTCTTTGCTTAACGTGCCAGGTATTTTTTTTTAATCGGAGTATTGCCAGCTTGCTTTTGAAATTTAGTTTTCCTCTGCAGAAAAGGGAACAGTGCTGAGAACGTTAGCCCCATACACTTCCAGGAATTTCAGCTCTTTTCGACTGTTTTAGAAAGAGGGAGGCGGGGGTGCGGGTGGGGGGGGGGTGGACCAGGAATTAAGAGACTTGGGTCCTGCAGAGGTAGCGGTATCCCGGAAGGCCATCTCTACTAGCCTTAATTCCTCCTCTAGGAGTTTAGAGTTGTAGGCCACACTGATATGAGGATTCATATCAGAGCCCTGTGGCTTAAAGCTGGATGGCTAGGAGGTCCTGCAGCCTAGGCTTGAGCATTCTGAAGTCCTCTGGCTCAGGGGAAATTATGTTGAAGTCCTCCAGTTTAGTCTAGACCTTTCTAAAGTCTTATGACATGGGTTTGACCTCTTTAAAGTCCTTCAGTGCAGATGCTTGGGCCCGAAGGCTAAACAGAGAAGAAGTTCCTGCAGTGGAAGATGAAAGAGCCACTTTCGGTTACATCATTTTTCAAACATGAACCACAGAAACAGGATTTTATTTCTGATTTTTTGTTGAAGTCATCATTTACTGTGCGTGATCACTCACTGGTTTTATATGGTATTTTTTCTTATTTCCCCCTTTTACATACTGCCTCCTCCTTTACATATTATACTGATACACAAAAATGCACCAGATACTCATCTTTCCCCATTTATTTCAGGGTAAAAAGATGCTGAAAGCTAAAGGAAAAGTAAAAATAAGTTATTCCTTTATTCAGAGGGGTTGAAGGTAAGGGGGTGGGTTGGAAGAAATCTCCCCTCAAAACACATAGGAGACACAGGTTCCTGGTGGGGGTGTGTGGAGGGCAGGAGGGGGAGAAATCATGTCACAAGTGTCCTGCCCCTATCTTTAGGGTCAGAGTAAGATGTCCAGCTGTCCCCTTGGTCCTGGAGGGTTCTTCCAGCCTGGATTGCACACCTAAACTAATAGGCACTCCCTTTCCACCTGCTACTTTGAGAACACCTGAAACCCTGCATGCAGCTCACATCTGGGAAGGTCTTCTCTGAACCTTCAGGGGTGGGAGTGGGAAGCCACCAGGGTCTTCCTGGCAGAGTCGGTAGTGACGGGAGTGAGAGCTGCCTGAGAACCTTCAGCAGACCGGCACATGACGTAAGCAGCAGCAGGGACACAGTCCCTTCCCTCTTCCCTCCTGTTTCATTCCTGCTGGCTCTGGGCCCACAGTTTAGGAAAAATCTTTTTATGACTTCTCCTTAAGATACACTTGCATCTTTACAAATCATTTTGTGTATATTTTGAGTCTACTTTTCTTGACTGACTGATTCTTATTTATAGGCCCAGAACCCAACACAGTGCCTGCGTACAGAACGTGGGCTAAGCATTGTCAGTGATGATTCTGCAGATAGGAATATTCTGTTTTCTATAAACAGTGCTGAGTCTTTCTCCCAGACTAGATTGTCTTCCTGTGTTTTGGCAAAGTGCTTTGTTTCAGTTCAAGTCCGAAGAGCATTTTTGAGTTGTTCTACTTTCCCACATCAACTGGCCCCAAATCGGCTTCCATCACATTCTTTCCCACAGTTTTCTTCATCGAGAGCTTATTTCATAAACCCTCTTTCCACTTGGCTTCCCACCAGTTCCCCCTGTCGTACTCTATACCCACCAATGTGGTCATGGGCTAGAAAATCAATAAAGCTCTTAATCACAAACGATGTGCAGCAGCAGAAGCGGCAGTGGCCGCGTGGCTTAGCCCCTGACTTGGCGGATCCCCAGTGCAACAGCACAAGCCCTACCAGGGAGGAAAGGGACTGTGATCCAGCATCAAGGCCGGGGATGGAACTTGCTTCCGCGTTCACAGCACCGAGGAGTAACTTTTTGAAGCTGCTCTAGCTTAGCTTTAATTGTCTCCAAGGATATGTCCCTCCCCTTCATACCCAGCTTGGGGAAACAGAAGTCCCTTTTCCGCTGCAGCAAGCCGTCAAAATACTGAGTTAATTTTATTCATTTTACCACGCATGTCTTTCCCGGGGAAGGCTGGTGCTTACTTACAAGACTGATATAACTTTTGCAATAAATATATTTTTACAAGCTTCTTGTATTTTACGCACCTTCCTACATTTAGGGGAAACAATTCTGTCAATTTGCCGCTATGCATGCTAAGCAAATTGTGAAAAAAGTAGTGAATGTGGAACTTGTGTGGGATTCATGACTGCTGGCTGTTACTGCCTCCTCAGGCTGCCCTGCTGGAAGGGCTCGGGGACCCAAGCATGGCAGGTGCCTTAAAGACCTCTCTAGGTGTCCCAGCTCTGGGTTCCAGCCTGTGTTCACACTGCCAGCAGGGAGATAAAGATAGGATGAGTGGAGGAATTCTTAGTCTTCAAGTCTCATTTTGGCACTGCTCACTCCTTAAGATTTTTCCCACCAAATTCGCCAGTTTGATTGAGTTTTCTCTTTGTCTGTTTCAGTTCTGCCAAGCACCAGCCAGGCAACTGGGTAATTCAGCTCCCCAGGCCTTAGTTTTCCCACCTGTAAATGAGCAGTTGAGCTACATAAATTCTAAGCTCAAACCTGCTCTGTCCACCTTTCCTGGGGAAAAGCTAAATAGAGCATGAAGAGCCCCAGGGACAGACACCAAAAAAAAAAAAAAAAAAAGCAAAGGGAGGAAGCCAGGGAGGAGAACTCTAGCAAACCAAATATTTAAGTCCCAGGTCATCTCCCCTAATGGCACTGAGCTGCAGTGTGAGGGAAGGACCTTTATGGACCCTAGCTCTGGAGGCATGGAAGTTTCAGGAAAACCAAGTTTCTTGGGTTCAGAATCTCTGAGTCACCCATCCAGTGGCTAACTGTGTTAGTGGTAACTGCTGGAGCTGGAGGGAGGGGTGGGAGAGGAGCAGCGGAGATGAGATGGGTGGGGAGGGGATAAAAGGAAAGCCTTTGCAGCATGGGTAGCACAGGGAAGAGCAGGGACTTCAAGGGCACCAAATAAAGGTCTGAGGAGCAAAGAAAGAGATGGAGAAAATTCATTCTGCTGGAAATAGACATGACTGCAGTCAGGAAGAGGATTCACGGATTCAGGGTGACCTGATTTGATTACAGCAACAGGAAGTGCAGGAGGGAGAGGGCAGAATAACCTGACCTGAGGAAGGGAATTAAATAATAGTGAAGACACCACAGTTGCTATGGCATTAAAATACCTCATGCCACATTCAGCTGCTTCTTTCTCTTTTGTTTGATTCTTGTTCTTGCAACATGTTAATGTTATTGCAGTTATCCAGTAAACCAAATTTAGACTTCTGGGGCATGGGGGAAGGGAAGGTGCAGCCTAGACATGTCTGGGTTGATTCTGGGGCAATATTCTGCCTCCATAGGGTGCTTGGATGTTTTGCTCTTTGTATTATGAGATATGAAAACCCCTGTCAGATTTGGGACTGCTAAAGCTGTTGAATGACATAACTTGAAAAAAAAAGGAATTTTTTTCAAAGAGGCAACTAACTGCTTTAGAAATTACTTCAGACTGGGCACAATGGCTCACTCCTGTAATCCTAGCACTCTGGCCAAGGTAGGAGGATCAGTTGAGTCAGGACTTTGAGACTAGCCTGAGCAAAACCCCATCTTTACCCACAATAAAAAAAAATTAGCCGGGTTTGGTATGGTGTGCTTGAAGTCCCAGCTACTTGGTAAGCTGAGCCTCAAGCTGAGGATTGCTTGAGCCTAGGAGCTGGAGGTTGCCATAAGCTATGATGACACCACTGCACTCTAGCCCCAGTGACAGAGTGAAATCCTGTCTTTAAAAAATGTTTCAGAAAAGGGTAGTGCCTGTGGCTCGAAGGAGTAGGGCGCCGGCCCCATATGCCAGAGGTGGCAGGCTCAGACCCAGCCCCGGGCAAAAAAAAAAAAAAAATTAGAAAAATCAATAGGATGCAGAAATTTGAAAAACAAATACAGCCACCTACAAAATCAAATTGTGTTGGCTTAAATATTATTTTCTTGCTTTTGAAAAGTTATCTTACTGGGCTATAATTAAGATTATTGGGTCCTCTGATAGGTTCTATGCAAAAAGAGACATTGCAGAGAGTGGGCACATCATATACTTTTTTGACATTAGTGT